CCAGGGAGAAAATGAAGCTTGCTTCAGGGTGGCTTGCTTCTGCCTGCAGATTTTTGCTAAAAGTTGACATTGAGGAACAGAAGGAAAAACAAAAGGGAAAAGTGGGCAACGTCATCAGCAAGGAAGCACCCTTGAAGTTAGGGGCTCTGAGAGGGTAGATGTGGTGAACACTAGAATGAAAAAGAAGCCAAGTGCTTTGTGCACCCACCACACACAGATGTCCTGAGTGCTTCTTAGGAGTCTGCAATACCTCACCCACCATTAGCTCAAAGGGGTAAAAGTGAAAAACTTTCCTTTGGGAAACAAGTCCCAGGGACCCCACTTAATTTAGTGCCATCAAGGAAGCAACTTTCCAAAATGCGTTCTTCCAGGCAGCCACGATCCGAGAGAAGCTGGTTACTGCTCAAGCTCTTCCAGTCCTTACTTTCATCCACATGATGCTGGTTTTACAGACCTGCAGGCCCCAAGATGTGCGTTGTCACAGAGTTTCTACAGAGACTTCAGAGGAAGTTGTGGGGGGCCAGGCAGTGTGTCTCTGAGTGTCCAGAGTGTCAAACTGTGAGGGCGTAAATGTGTGATCAGTGGGGAATGAAGGAGAGAGAGATGGCAGGAACCAGAGACAACTGCAGAGGAAAGCCAGGATCGGTGAGCAAAATCTGGCTGAGAGGCCATGAGGGCTACAGTGGCAACACCACAGGGGCAGGACTGCCCAGGCCTCAGAGGTCACAGCGCTTCAAAATTTGCCCCAGTGTGTTCATGAAGCTACACTGCGATGCCACACTATGGAATGTCTGCCCTGCTGGGTTTAGTTCTCCCTTTGGGTCTGTTCCTTTCTCTCCTTTGGGAAGGGGAATGTGTACCTGTGACATTGTGTGTCAGGAGTGTTCAAAGGTTGACATCTAAAAGGCAAGTGGATCACTGGGTGCTCTCTTCCTCGGTGGCGTGAATCCCAGGTGAAGCCACAGCTGAAAGTGTTGTTAGGTGCCCTTGGGATTAAAACTGGTGGTTCACTAGTGGCATGGCCTGGAGGCTACATCACCCTGTTCACTCCCCAGATCTTTCTCTTTGCTCCTCCCTCCTTCTCTCCCTCTTTCCCTCTCTTCCTCTATCTTCTTTTATTTATTTATTTATTTATTTTGGCAGAACCAGGGATTGAACTCAGGCCCTTGCACTTGCCAGGGAAGTGCTTATTCCACTGAGCCATCCCCCTGGTCCCGTCTATCTTCTTTCTGGCTGCCATGACATTAGCAGCTTTCCTCCATGCAGAATTTCAACTATCAGGTTTCTACCCTGGAACACATTCAATATGGAAGATAAACAAGAACATCAACAAACATGCAACACTCTCTCTGAGACAATGTATGTGACGGGCAGTCACTTTTCACCACATTTGAACAACAAAGGGCTTGAAGTCAGCCTATTCAAACTAGCACAAATAAGTAAAATTAATAAGTGGACACATACATAAACATGTTTGATAAACATGTCCAAGAGCAATAAATCTAATTGTTGTAGTAGAAAATGACAGTTCTGAGCCAAGGAGATAGCTCAGTGGCATAAGCAACTGCCTGGCAAGCACAAGGTGCCAAGTTTGGTGCCCATATCAAAAAAAAAGAAAGAAAAGAAAAGGAAAATGCCAGTTCTTTTATCATGTTGTTGCTACCTGACCACTAGATGGATGAATTATTAACAACCTGAAAATGCTAAGCATTGGTAAAGGCAAGCACCACAGGCAACTGCATGTGCTTTTAACATGTATGTACAATAGTATATTACCATTAAAAGTAGTTTATAGTTCTTTACTGAAAAACACATGCACACCCTCTGACCCAGTACTCTGCCTCCGTGTATACACACAGGATGGGAGATGTGTCGCAAAATACGTGGCTATGTCATGACAGCATGATTTATAGCAAATAAACCAGATGCAAACAAAATACTCAAGAAGGGCCCAGTGAAGGTCTGATTTATGGCGCATCTGCAGACACAATCGACTGAAAAGCAGTTCTAAGTGTACACACATGATTCAGGTTTAATGTCATTAATGTGTTTCATAAAGACAAAACCAAATAAGAGGCCAATTACATGAAATAATGCATGATGATAGTCCGTGCAGAGAAAGACAAAATGGACACAGAAATGTTTGTTTTTAGAATGAAGACACAGATGACCTTTGTGGAAGAGATGCAAGGTCTGGATTTTATCAGCGGTTGTGGGCCACCCAACCTTGTCCACTTCAGGATAATTTGCTGAGCTGTGTCCACTCAAGATTTTGTACATTTGCTTCCCAAAATGTTTTAAAGGTAAAAATGTATTCTTTAGCTGCTTCACTGAGTGCCTGCCTTTCTTTGTACTCATATGGAGGGGGAAACAGCAGCTAGAAATGGCAAATTCACACATTATGTTCAGGTTTTCACTTGTTTATTAAATATTCAGTGTCTATAACTAGTTCTTATTATACTTATAAGTTATATATAATAATGGGTTTGTTTTATATTTATACATGAATGTAATATACATAAATCATTTTACTCACGTTACCCCATTTCCTCTTTGTTCCTCACTCTCCTTGTTTCCTTTTTCTCTCTCTTTCTCTCTCTCTCTCTTTTTTTTTTTTCAGAACTGGGGATTGAACTCAGGCCCTTGCGCTTGCCATGGACGCGCTTATTCCACTGAGCCATCTCCCCGCCCCCACCCCTTTTTCTCTCAATAGTCTTCCTTCTATTTTCATGTCGTTCCATCTCACCACGTCACATCTCACTGTCATGCTCCCTCTCTGCGACTTTCGTCCTGTCTTTTCCAGGTCCCGCGGTATTCACACTAATCTAACCCAGCCAATTCAGCGCTCTCCTACGCTCCAAGCTCTCACTCAGCCTCAGTAGCCAAGTTTCCTTCGGTGTGTCACATACTGCTGTAGGTCCGAGGAGTAGAGCACAGAAATGACCTTCGGCTGCGGTACTTTTTCACCCACCTCTAGGTCTCTCCATCACAATGCCTTAGCTACTTGGTTGTCACTGGCCCAGAATAATGACAAACATAACTGAAAGGGTGACAGTACTTAGGTTCAGAGAGTCAGGAGTGAGAGTAGAGCAGGGGAGAGAAAGGCACTCAACACACGGCAACCAGGAAGACAGAGAGAGAGAAGGGAAGATTCGGAGTGAGAGCAGACCCTTCCAGGTCACGCACCAGGGACCACTTGCAGCCAGGCCCCGACTGCTCACAGGCTATTCCGCTGCTGACCTCCTCGGCAGGTGAGTCTGCTGAGGTCCACAATAATCCCCACGGTTCAATCAACCAAAAAATCCCACCCTCTGAACTTCTGAGCCAAATGTGGGCCTTTGTAGATTTAAAATAGCACCCTGAAATGTTCCCTTCCATAAAAGAAAATAAAACTTCAAGGAGATTCTCAAGAAGAGGATGTGGGAGAAATTATTAGATTGGTTCATTCAGCCCTAAAGTTTCCCACAAGGACAGTGGCTTTACTAGGAGCAGGAGAACGGGGAAGGAAGACAGGAAGCGAGACAGGAGGGCAAGAGCTCAGAGAGGATGGCTAGAGGGAAGCTCCTATCCAGGGCTCAGAAAACATCTTTAGATAGTTCGGCGGAGGTCAGGGAGGTGGAAGAGTGTGCATCTCCACCTGTATTCATCCGCTAAGGCTGTGCTGGGAACGCTGTGACTATGACCAGTCTGTCCCAAAGCAGCATCCTTCCTCAACTTCCCAGAGCACAGAGAACAGCTCTGGTTGGAAAAATCATCAAAGCACAGCGCAGGGCAGATGCTGGGAGATCAACAGCACCTGTGCCCTACACGCAGATAACGGATGTGTGCTTTCAATGTGAGGCTCTCAAATGGGTTCCGGCAGGTCAGATGCAACAAAGGTTCCCTCGTGTTCACACCTGAGGCAGACTTCAGGGAGCTTGGGAAAGCCCTGACTTCATGTTCTGGTCACATGCAGCCAGGAAGTCACAGTATCCCTGAGAGTCCTAGGCTGGAAGGGTAGGCTCTGAAGGCTGGGCTGGCGCCAATACCTGGCTTCGGGAACGGGCTATGATGTGAACAGAAGTAAAGCTCTTTTACATCAGGGACTAAACTCACTTTTTCTAGCTAATTTTATTAATATATAAGATATTTTTTTCCTACTTGATCAGCAGTGACTAGACAGAAAATGAAGACATTCTTCCCAGAATATGAGATTATTCTCATTTCTTGAGTGTTTGGAGCTCTACTTGTGAAACCTTCCATGACATGCAAAACTTTAAATAAACTTTCTATAGTTTAGAAAGTAGGAGAGAGAGAGAGAGAGAGAGAGAGAGAGAGAGAGAGAGAGAGAGAGAGAGAATGAGGTAGGGGTGAATCTGAGACTGGAAGTCTCCATGGGGAGCATGTTATCACTGTGCAGCTGCAGTAGCTGGCTTGGTGCTATTGCAAAAGCAGCAAGCGTTCAGAGTGGTGACAGAATCATTCCTCTGCTTTTGCATATGTTTAATGTAATCCTGGTAAGTGTGTTCTCCTGATTTTTAAACATAAAAATCATTTTTATACAACTATGGTTATGACAACACAAAATATTCCCAGCACCAGCCCACTACACACACATACATTAGCACACAGGAAAATTCTTAAAGAAAGTCAAAGAACTGATATCCAAACCATCTAACTTACACTGTATCCTCTGTACACAGAAGAACATGCCCTTCCATGATGCTAACACAACTGCTAATAAGGTTTTGCACGTAGATTCAGGTCTAATTCCAGTTTTAAAACTTGTTCCCAAAGGTTTTTCTGTCACTGATTCTGCCGAGGAAGAAATTCATACTCTGCAGATAGTTCTATGCTGTCCTGGTCTCATCAAGGACAGTTACAGATAATGAACACTGCAGCTGTGCCCTCCCCGCCCAGCCCTGCTGATTTGCACATGCCCAGAGCACAGCGCAGCCCTGAGGACTTCTCCATGGGATGCTCACACCCCGCTCAGGAGTCGGTGCCAGTCAGGACACAGCATGGCCATGAGGGTCCCCGCTCAGCTCCTGGGGCTCCTGCTGCTCTGCCTGCCAGGTAAGGAATACTGCGCTGGGACTGTTCTCAGCCCAGGGAGACCAGTGCTTGATCTTCAAGGAGCCCGTGTGCCATGATTGTGTGGGTATAATTTTTTGTTTGTCTCCAATACCAGGTGCAAGCTGTGACATCCAGGTGACCTAGTCTCCAGCTTCACTTTCTGCAGCTGTAGGAGACACAGCCACCATCACTTGCACAGCAAGTAAGGCGACTAGCAATTACTTAAACTGGTATCAACAGAAGCCAGGAGAAGCTCCTACACTGCTGATCTACAGTGCAGACCTTCTGGAATCTGGGGTCTCATCACAATTCAGTGGCACTGGGTCTGGGACAGATTTCACGCTCACCATCAGCAGTGTGGAGCCTGAAGATATTGCAACTTATCACCGTCAACAAGGTGGAAAGACACCTCCCACAGTGACACACACCATGACAGAAACCACCTAGGAAGGCAGAAGTGTGAAGCTGGGCTGCCCCAGCTGCTCTTCCTGGTGCTGTTATCTGCTGAGAGGGTTTATCAAGTACAGGTGGCATTATTAGCCCCCAAAGATCTTGGGGGAAAATGTCAGTGTGGCTCTTCTGCATCTTGACCCTTTCTTCTTTCATCTTCATCATCACAAACATGTTAATACCTCTCCCAATTTCATTTAGAACAGAACTTGAAGCATCTGAGGTACCTGGTAATTGGCATGTAAAGGTTCAAAGAGAACCTGATCTAGGTAATCCAAGCAAGAATTGTTTTAACAGGTGGAATTTAGGTATAAACAGCATCTATTAAATGGCTTAGTGGCAGTAGTAGTCAGAGGAGATTGTACTGTAAATAAGGATCCTCCCCCCACAGCACCACTCCCCTGCAGCCCAGTGATGCTCCGAGCTGCCAGCAGGACCTGACTTGCCATGGTCCACTCACCAGCGCTCTGCCTGCTGCTGCCTCCCGGTGCTACTTGGTGCTGAGTTTCCTCTTGTAAGGTTTGAATCCCATGCGAGGTGCATATTTGAGAAATTCTTTAGAAAAACATAGGAGAAGAAGCAATTCTAAGAAATATGTGTTTTGAACAGATGTTGATGTTGGCGACAACAGTGAGCAGAGTACATTCACTGTCCCTTGAGCCCACAGAATTTTGCTGGATGAACAAAGGACCCATGACACATATTGAAGTTCTTTTCTTTGTTCCAGCAGGTCTAGAAGCGCAACACTAAAAGTTTGTGAAGTCATATTGCAAATGCAAAATGAGGAATTGAATTGAAATATAGGACCTGATTACCAAAAGTCAAACAGAATTGTTTAAAGATAAATATGTATGAACTTTCTTCTCCTCGAGAACTAAATGCTTGCTGCTCAAAAATCTTGTAGAAGCTAGTAAGAAGTATAGCTATCTTGTTAGAAATCCAAAATAAAATCATGTCTTTCACAGCAAAAGGTGAGAATCTACATCATACCCAAATACCAAGGGATCTACATAAAGTGGGAAGATATTTTTGAAGAGCAACTTAGCAAAATGACCACCACATTGGTCTTATCAATTTCTGCCAAGATCTGAGCTCGGGCATGCCAGATAATGGACTCACATGAAAATGGTTGAAAGCATTTCAAAATGCCTCACAGGTTTAACTGAGAAATGAATAGCGTAAGTCCTAGTCGCTTCCATTTGGGATAACAATCACCTCAGGTGCATGTCAACAATGCCCTGTCCACACTGAGGGGCTGTTGTGAAGATGGAATCACAGATGGATGCTGTTTGGTACAGAGTCCACTCATCCCCTCCCTCAGCTTGCACACCAGAGGTGTTTAAATATTCAAAGGACTCCTAGCCTGTGAAGCTTCTCTGAGACAGCTGGGCCCAGATAAGGTAGGGGGGCATTTGCCTGTGTTCTTCCTTCTCTACAGTAACTGTGATGGAGCAGGACTTTAAGCACATTCCACACACAGTCCTACTGTGTGAGCCCCTCTGCATGGACGTGGTTGACACTGAACACACCTAAGGAGCACTTTGTGACTGTGGGGAGGTGAGGTAAGAGGGAAATCAAGAAAGTGAAAAAGAGAGACGGTAAGTATGAGATTCTAATACTGTGGAGTGTTTATTATGCACGGCAAGAGCTGCTCCCTACTTGATCAACAGACTGAATGTCATTTCACCTGTATTTGTCCTGCTGAGGCAGCAAATATATTTTACATGGGAAAGTTCCTTTTTTGACTAAGAACTGAGGTTCTTGACTAAGAACATTTAGATGGTGAGATTATCCTAGATTAGAAACTTGGGCACAGACACAATCCAAGAGAGAGGAGGGGAGATTTACCATGGGCAGAGCGCAGCCAGTCCTGGTGAACACAGCCCAAGTCAGCAGTGAGGAGCCACAGCCAGGGAGGATGTCAGCCCCAGTGCTGGGGAGGCGGGAGCAGAAGGGTTTCTATGGACACAGCGGGAGCTCTGCCTGCACACGCCCTGTGATGGCTCACTGTAGCTTACATCAGAGTCTGCCTTACCGATTCTGCAAATAGGTGTCACGATGGTTTTCAGCAAAATGTTGATATTTTGGTATTGCAACAGCCCTCAGAAAGTACTAGAAGTGTGGCTCAAGGAAAATCCAAACGAGGTTGCTAGGAGAGCTTACTATCTCTTTTTTTTTGCTGCCTAATGTTGTACAGAAATGGGTCAGGGGAATTTAGTTTGGATAATAAAAGCATATTGTTGAGGCTCGTTGGGCCAGGGAGATGGCTCAATAGAATAAGCATTTGCCTTGCAAGCACAAGGGCCTGAGTTCAATCCCCGGTTCTGCCATAAATAAATAAATAAATAAAATAAAAAATAGCAAAGCATATTGTTGAGGCTCATGGTTTCAGAAGGGAAGCGCTATAATAAGGATGCTTAATTATAAGATCATTTTATAACAAATCAGCCAAAGAATCACATACACAGAGTACAGGAAATCTATCCACATACTTATGATCAAAGAATCCGGCTGTGTGTCTGGACCCCACAATAATGCCTCATTTAGGCCTGTTTCATGCATCTGAGCTAGGAAGGCCCAAAGGTCAGTGGTGGAAGCTAGAAAGTCTGCACCAGTGGGGTGAAGGATCTGTGCTAGCTGGCTCAGGGATCTTCACTGGGCCAAAAAAAGCAATGCACAAAGTGAGAACCCAGGCTCCCTGAAATAGGCAACCTCAGCAACAGTGAGGCAGTGAGCTCCTCCAAATTGAGGAGAGCTCAGTTCCCATCAGGAAGGTCAACATGAAGAGCTTCTTCAGGAGACTGAACCATTCACCCTCTTCCCCTGCAGAGACAGGAAGCAGTATTCCAGGTGAGGACCGGAGCACCCCACAATGAACCACAGCCAACTTCAGCAACAAGGAGGTCCTCCACCTGAAACAACAAGCTCCTCCCCCAAAACAACAAGCAAGTTCACTGGGAAAGCCAGCATGACAAGGTCCTCCAGCAGAGCAGCCCAAGACAGCCAGCAGCTTCTAAGAGATTCACAACTCCAAACAACTTCATTCAGGGCCTCTCAATAGCTTCTCCAGCTCTGCCTCTTATGTTGCAGGCACCAACCCTCAGGAGGGCCTCCCACACCCAGCACCATGCATGTTTAGTTGAGCAAGGTGGAACAAATGGATCATCAGTTGGCAATCAACCACACATATGAATCCCCAGTGAGGCACATGGCAGTTCTAGATGAAATGCTCATTTCTTTTATGACATCTGATTACTAAGATCCTTCTAAGCTACCTCATTTAATATTTATTACATGCAGAAAATTATGGAAAGGAAAGGAAACAGTAAGATAGGAAGAGAAGATGGACAATAAAAGGCCCTTCAGCATATCAGCTGCCAAAGAGGATGACTGGATATGAAGCAAATGTGGAAACACAGAAATATGCCTCTGGATTATTTTCTCTGAGGTCGAGGAGCTGCGCTGTGTGTGCATGTCTTCCCATGACCATGCACTAAGGCTGGTCTGGGACACTCAGGCCGGGGTCTGTGCTCTGCTGTTTGTGCAAAACCAGCTGTCTCCCCCACATCAGAGAGCACAGGAAAGGAGACATAAAGTGGATGACGTCATCATCACCATTCTGAAATAAGAAATGAGGGCTCAGTGGTGACTGTTTAGGTTACACAGGTAACAGATAGGAACTGCTGATGTGAAACCCTCAACTGGAGTCCCACAAGGGAGGAGCAAGAAGGCACCCCTTAGTTCAGACTTTACATCGTGGTCTGGCCACCTGCAACCACGGATGAAGGGAAGCCCCAGAGTTGCCTGGCTAGAGGTGACACATGGGAGGAGAGCTGGGACCCTGGCCAGAGGCTGGGACAGGGGTAGTTCAGTTCTCTGTCTATCTTTCAGAAGTATGTGAGATTATTTTCCTTCTAAATAAGGCTGGCCTGATGCCAAATGCCTGCTTTCTCTCCTGAAGCTGAAAACAGAAAGAAGATCTCAGGGACCCAAACTAAAATACTCAGTATCCCTTTTACATATATTTTCATATAACCTTGAGGCAACTTATAGTTTGATTATTTTTCTGCATTGAAGCCCAAATGAAGTATTGAAAATTGGCCCCAGTATGACTTCTGTAGGTCAACACAGGAAGAATTTCATCATCGTCAGGAAATTTCATGTAGCCCTGGTCTGACCAGACGCAAAGGGAATCTGGGCACTGCAGCTCTGTGCAGCCTGAGGAACCCTTGCTAATTTGCATGTGCTCAGAGCCCCGCCCACTGCCCCTTGATTTCTAAATGGGCTGCTGCCCGCTGTGCAGGAGTCATCTCCCTCAGGACACAGCATGGACAGGAGAGGTCTCACACAGCTCCTGGGGCTCCTGCTGCTCTGGCTCCAAGGTAAAGAACAGCACTAGGAACTTGCTGGCTGTTTGGGGAACTCCATCTACACAGGTATGTGTATTTATTTTTGTGTTTACATTGTCAGGTGCCAGATGTGCCGTCCAGGTGACCCAGTCTCCGACCTCAATTTCTGCTGCTGTAGGAGACACAGTCACCATCACTTGCACGGCCAGTCAGAATATTTTCTATTACATGAATTGGTATCAACAGAAACCAGGAGAAGCTCCTAAATGGCTCATCTATGCTGCAGACAGATTGGAAACAGGGATCCCCTCGAGATTCAGCGGCAGCGGGACTGGGACACATTTCACTCTCACTATTAGCGGCGTGCAGCCTGAAGATGTTGCCACTTATTTCTGTCTGTATTATAGTACTGCACCTCCCACAGTGACACGAGCCATGACAAAAACCTCCCAGGGAAGCAGAAGTGTGGGGCTGGGCTGCCCCAGCTGCAGCTGCTAATGTTGCACCTGCTGAGAGGATTTTTCGAACATATGCAGCATGTGATGATCACAGCAAGGTCTTTCTAGGAAAAGGCCGAGAGGCTCCTCTGCATCCTGACCTTTGGGTCTGCTCATCCCTAGTAGCTCATCCTTAGTAGACCTGGCAGGTCCTCCTGACTTCACTTAGGACAGAATTCAGTACACCTAAGGCACTTAAGGTGTGACAACACTTAGGATTCATATAGTCTGCTATTCAACAGATACTATGTAGTCAAACAGAAAGCACAACTCCAAGCAGGAATTGTTTTCTAACAGGAATTTTGACTCTCAACAAAATACACTATACAGCTTAGAGGGACAGGTAGCAGGGAAGTTGGTACTCTACATCGGGATTCTCTGATCCTCCCCCAGTCTCTGGCCTAAGACATGGGTTCCTAAAACCTTGAGGGTCACACTGGTCCTGAAGGCACTCACAGATGTGCTTTAAGGATGTGTAGTGGTTGCCTGCGCTGGACTGTAGTACTGCATTGGTGGGCTTTCCATGACTGGCCAAAGCACCCCAAATGAAAACTTGAAGAAGAGATTCATTTTGACTCACTGTTGTATTCATTGATAGGCTGGCTCCAACATCAAAACAGGATGGCATGTGTACCTGTCACAGGGAAAGGCCTTCGTCCCATAAGAGCCAGGAGGCAGAGAGGGGGGAGGATATGGAAAAGTGTATGTGACCTCCAGGCCATACTCCTGGGACCTCATCCTGTAAGGTCTGACATCCCAGCGTGCATTCTGCTTCTGATCAATGAATGGACGAATCCACTGTAGAGGGTAGCACCCTTCTGCCCTCATCTTCCCCAGGCTGCTGGGCCCTGCACATGCTCCTGCTCATTGGCCCCCATCTGAGGGCAGAGCCTATGATCAGGATGCTACTGATGCAAATCCAGGGCAGGGTGATGGCCTCGGGGATGCTGGAAATCTGCTCCCAGGTCCTACCCTGGTCCTTCCTGCCATTGCTCTGTCCTCCCCTGAGGGCGTGGAAAAGGTCCACCTGAGCTGTGCTGGCCGTACTATGACAGCCACTCCCACCTGAATGTGAACAGACGTCTGGGGGAGGGAGCAGTAGCTCATGATTCCTAACTCTTGATAACATGTTCCTGGATTGCTCTGACATCCTAACGAAACAGCTTCAGCGAGGCCTCGGAGCAGGATCAGCTGCCCTGTGACTGCAGCATGGGCCCTACTGCCCCAGCTGTCACTTGGCTCCGCTGCTTGTTCTCAGTTTCTTTTCAACTTGAGGGAAGGTGGCCACTTTTGTGTTTGGGCAGGGTAGGCAGCCATGGCTGTGTTTGTCATCTGAGGTGGAGATGATGCAGAAAAGCAAAACTCCCAAATGCTTTTGCTTGCAAACCAAATGGTGTGCAAACAGGAACATTCATGACCTGGAGTATTACTGTAATTTCTAGCAGGCCCATGGTACAGAGGTGCTCAGTGGGAGTCCAGCCATGATTTTAGAAATCAGAACAGGAGGACTCAGCAGGTATCAGCAGCCACAGCAAAAGGGCGGAGAATGTAGGCGGCTACACTTCCACCGGAACGTTTTCAGGCATCGGTCAGCATCAGTACCCAAACCCAGCTTCCGCAGGGCTGAGGACCACAAGGTTTTACAACATCTGTTTTACTAACAGATGTGCTCAACCTTCCAGGGAAAGACCAGAAAATTTCCTATCTGTATAACAAAATTTTAGGACATACAAACACACTCGGCCAGATAATGATAGTGTAGACACCAGGTCCCTGTAGCAAAGAAGAGTGTACTTGGAAATCCCACTGTTATTTGTCTTTTGCTCTATGAAGCCCCACTCTTGCTGAAACCCAGTGCTTCAAACACAATGATCTGAGCCTTTCATACATCAGAAGATCGCTGTGTCCACACAACCAGGCTGAGCAAGGATCACGGTACCCAGCATCCTTTGAAGAATGGCTGCATCTCAGATACACGCTCAGCATCCAAAGACATCAAAAGGAGCAACGGGGGCAGCCCAACCTCACACTTCTGCTCCCCCAGGGAGGTTTTCGTCATGGCCTATATCACTGTGGGAGGGAGACTGACAGTCTGCTGACAGTAATAAGTGGCCACATCTTCAGGCTGCAGGCTGCGGATGGTGAGAGTGTAATCTTGCCCTGATCTACTGCCGCTGAACCTCGCTGGGACGCCAGAAGCTAAGGTGGATGCACCATAGATCAGACGTTTAGGCTCCTTCCCAGGTTTCTGTTGATACCATGCTAAATAACTACCTACGTTCTGACTGGCCTTGCAACTGATGATGACAGTGTCTCCTACAGATGCAGAATGAGCGGATGGAGACTGGGTCATCTGGATGTCACATCTGGATCCTGAAAACAAAAAGTCACCATATTAATCACTTCACAAGAATTTTCTCTAAAGAGCCAGCACTGACCATGCTTCAATAGGAAATACAGTTTAGTCCTGCTTTACCTGGGAGCCAGAGCAGCAGGAGCCCCAGGAGCTGAGCGGGGACCCTCACGGCCATGCTGTGTCCTGACAGGGACTGACTCCTGCACAGCATCTGAGCAGTCAGTTAAAAGCCTGTGCTCTGGCAACAGGCAAATCAGTGATCTGGGCAGGGCGATCCCCAGCTGTAGCGCTGTCACGTCTCAGCAGCTCGGCGCCCACCAGTAACCGCAGGTGTCCCCAATCAGACCAGCAGAGCCCAGATTTGCCTACAGAAAATGTGTTTCTTCTGAGGGACATTGCATTACAGACAACAGTGAGGAACACTGTTAACTTGCAAGATGAATCTAGCCTTAGATACATAATTTCACAGATAAAGGAAGAGGCTAGAGTATACACTTGTTTGGAAACAATACAAAATAAATTACAGCAATTAAGCCATCACCTACCAAGCAATGGTTTCTGTTAAAAGCAGTGAGATCTTTCATGCTGTATTTAACACATTTCTGTGGCTACA